GTTTATAATTGTAAGGTGATAAAAAAAAAATATATACTTACTATGTTATACTCTCAAAAATATTTTTTCACTAGTGCAAAATTTTACCACACAAGTTAGTTTATCACCACTAATAATATCAATAAGTCTCATTAAATTTTTTGAATATGTCGTGCAAGTTGCAATTGCTCATAACTCAATTAATTAGTATTATTTCCATTCGTAGCCACTAGTAAAGACAATTATTGCTCAACCTTTGCACCATATTTTGTAACACCCCAAAATTAATTGTATGTAATCTAAAATTTATAAATATAATTTTTATAATTTATTTTTCATTTAATTTAGAGTAAAAATAAAATAAAATTGATTAAGGATTAAATTGAAAATAATTTTAGGAAAAAGATGTAAAAATTTGGGTTATATGGTATTTTTGAAAGAAAAATCAGAAAATATGGGCCAAAATATAATTTTGGAAAGTTTCGCTATGTCATACGCTCGGTCAGCAGGCCCAGTGAATCAGGATGCGCTGCATGGCAGCGGACGCTAATGCGGTGCCACGCAAGTGATCCGCGTACCTGCAATCAAACGGCCCAGATCCGTTCCCGCACGCACGGACGGCTCATATGCGTTCCCTCCCCAAACGTGATCGAACGGTCAGATTTGAATGCGATCAGATGGCCCAGAGTGGATCGCGATGGATGGTCCATATTGGATCGCGATGAATGATCCAGATTCACTCTATATTTAATCACGATCGGACGGTCCAGATCAAACGCGTTGGACGACCTAGATCAAAAGCGGACGGATATAAATAACCCTCATCCGCACCAAACTCTAACCCTAGCCGCCAGAACCCCTCGCTGAAGAAGAAGACCTGACCGCCGGAAAGGAGCTGCCGCCGGAAAGGAGCTGCCACCACCCGCCACTGCACCGGAACCCTTTCCGACCACCAAAAAAGGTAAAAACTTTCTCTTTTACTCAAAATTCAATTTTAAGCTCACTCATGGCCAAATCGGAGTAAAAAGACCGGTCAATTGGTCAGAAAATGCCAGTGAAACCCAGCAGCACTGCTGCGGAAAATTTCACAAAATGCCTCCGATGAGGCCCTTCTCAATTCCTGTTCTGTGTAATTTTTTCACCGTTGTGATCACCGTGTCCTTCTCTATAGGTTAACTAGAGCAAAACACCCAACCGTAATGTGAACCGGAGGAGTCGTCATACCGGAGAGCCCCGCCACTAGTGAGTTTCGGTTTTTGGTATTTTTTCGGCCAACTGAGACTCTTTAACGTATTTTTTCACAGAGATCGATGCAAAATCGCCCGAATTCGACCAAAAACAGCAGAAAATAATCGACCCGAGGCGGACCGCAGTCGTGCCGGAATTTTGTGATTGGCTGAGTGGGTCCTGGGGCTGATTTTGGGTTTGTTTGGAACATTCGTATGTACTATTAACGTGTTTCAATTCTCAAAGAAAAATTTAGGGAACGTAGGGACCGCCCATAGACGCAGTAAACAGCTTAGCTTTTCGGGCGTCAATCGAGTAAGGATCACTCACCCTATTCCCTATCATAGAATTGAAGTCTAAATAAATATAATATGGTATTTGTATAAATTAAATAAATGTGCATAATTAATTATTGATTGCTAATAGAGCCCGAACCAGAAATTATTCTCTGTTAATCTTTGTTGATGTATTTTACAGTTTAAAAGCATGATGGTATCTGGTTTATCAATTTTATAATTTGAATGCATGAATTGTTGTCTTATGTGACTACTATTTGATTGAAAAATTAAGATATGATTATATTCCCTGGTGTATGTTTGTTTACTTATATGATCATGGTTGATTTGGAAAATAGAGACTAAAGAAAAACAGGAAAGTTGTATGATTAAATAAACAAATAGAATGGCAGACTTACTAGATATCTTGAGAGATGGTAGATGAACCGGGTACATAGGGAACCCTACCGTGAACGTTCTCTCATACCGGACGAGGTATGAAGACTTGATAATTTAACGCTCATACCGAATGAGGTATGGAGACGGTCCACTTCACCCTCATACTGGACGGGGTATTGAGATTTAATAATTTAGTGCTCATACCGGACGGGGTATGAGAACGGCCTGTAATTGAGATTGTTAAAAGAAAGGGTCACGTGTAGTAGGGACATCTCTATGAATTCTCATGGATACTAGTAGGCTGGTAAAAAATGACAGTTATTGTTTGGTTATTTGACTATATGTGTAGATTTATGATATGTGTTATGTTGCTGATCTTACATGAAATTATGATCCGCATGATATTATTATCTGCATAGGTTATTTTCATAAATTCCACTGTGGTAAATGAACGGTAAATAATTTTATAATTAATAAATAGATTTGCTAAATTTAGTGCTCAATTAGTTATTTTTGTTTTTATACATACCTTTATTTCTATATCGGTGATATAGTGTGATATTCTTACTGGACTAGTGTAGCTCATTCCTTATTTAACCATTTCAGATCAAGAGAACCAGATTTCAGGGCCTGATCCGCAAGAAAATTGCGAGTAGATGCTAGATATTTTCTCTTTTCTCTTTATTTCCTTATTTCTTGTGTTTCTTTCAAAAAAAGTAAATTTCGTAATGTTGTTTAGTATTTTTAAGTTATTGTGTAAGAAATGTAAAGTCTGGATATTTATTACGCTTCCACACTTTAATTATCTTTTATTTCTTTTAGATATTTCCGGGTCGTAACATGTTCTGATTCACCATGTTTATAACTTGTTATGTTGGTTATTTTCTATGTTATATTGATTCTCATATTTTATTGTATATTAAGAACAACTATTCCTTTAAGTGCATGGTTCTTTCACAATTTGTTAAAACCACATGAATTTAATCAGATTATATATTCGATTTATAATAATTCACTCAATTGATAAAGTTATGATTAAATATCTTTTTAGAAAAAAATATAAACAAATATAAAGATAACTTAATTTCATTCAATTACAAGTTACAATTTTGAAAATGGTATATATATTTTTTATTATTTTTTTAAAAAAATAAATTATGTTCATATAAAAACTCTTGTACATATTTATAGTAAAAATAAATATTTATTTAACTATTCACAATATTAATAAAAATTATTAAAATAGTTTATGTTAAGTATTTTTATTTATTTAATCTATATAACACAATAAATTTTAGTTAGTAAGATATACATTTCAAATAATATTGATTTGTCACAATAACTCATAGTTTTAATTTTGATTTAACAAATAATCAATGTTTTGTTAGTTATATGATTAATATTCCTCTTTATGTATATAAAATAATAACTTTGAGTTAAATAATTGTTAAGAAATTGTGTTATAATTAAAAATACATATTCTTTTATTAATCAAATATATAAATTTTTAATAAAAAAAATTATGATTCAACAAATATATTTACTATATCATTAAATATAATATATATATATATATATCCATTTTCTTGAGAAAAAAATATGAAATATATTAAGAGTAAAGTAATATAGGGCAACCAAACAGATCATAAGGATTAATTGCCGATCGACGCGCCTATTATCCACAGCCACGTACTTAAATCCCCTCCACCAAGCACCAAACCGCCCAACCCCGTCTATTTAGCCCTTAAATTGTACGGAGATAGATTTAGCGGTCTATTCCAGTGAGTCCCAAACTCAGAACCCCACTTCTGACTCACTACTTCCTGCCCTTATCACTCTCTTTACTC